TAAAGATAAATGAGGCCTCATTTGTGAATATAGGCCCACTGTTAGCAAATGGGTGCATACCAGCTGTGATATCTTTCCAGAAGCCTCTGGGAGCACTGTAACTTGCAGATACTGTTTCTTCTCTGTTCTTTCTATACTCTTGGGAACATTCATGTATTGTTGGCCTGTCTGGTACTGGTTCAGTTGCTCTGTCTGATGATCTGGTTCTACCCACTTTTTGAACACTTCTCTCCCTCCTTCTCTAGGAAGGCAGAAAATGGGTAAATAGTCTTGCTTACTTGTATACACTGGGGCATACAACCCAGGTAACCCTTATACAGATGCCAGAAAGGTTCTTACTCTAAGGTGCATATATACATTTTCCAAGTCAGTATTTAGCCCTGTGGTACAACACTGTTTCAAGGGCTTGGAGTTTAAGCATGCCAAAAGCTTCCTCCCCTTCCCCCTTTCTTATGAAACAGTTTTTAATTTAGAGCATTAATGATTGATGATTTTAAAAGAGGTGGATTTTGAAGGTGAATCTTACCAGCAGCTTAAATTATTATATATCACAAATTAGCTCTACACAGATATGAAAGAGAGATTTACTATGAAGCACCTTGCTAAAATATGCCCATTAAGGAACTGGCATTACTACAAGATATATACCGCAGGTGAGGTGTTGAAAGGCCTCTGCCTCTCTTCTTCCCTCTCCCAGTATAGATATACTGTTGTCCGAAAGGTAGACACTACACATTGTTGTTTATTATTTATTCTGGAGCCACTTTAAGGCATTCCTCTCTTCTGCTTCACTTTATAAAGAAATCTACCCTTTGCATTGAGGACTGAGTTTCTAGCAAGTTTGAATAATTTTGTACTTCCATCCTCTCAGCTGTCACGTTACTTCCGGTTCCCTATGATCTACAGTGTGGGTGGTTGAAAGGGAAAAGAGGAAGGCAGGCAAAAGAAAACTGAGAATTTGTTGCTTATTTCCAGTGGGAATTGATGATTTGCTACCTTAAGAGAGCGTCAGATTTGGTGCTTCTGCTTCTTTCCTCATCTGGATGTCAGCAAGTATGGATTAGTTGTAGGACCCTCAGGAACAGGATTTACAATGGAAATGCTGAATTGGCCTCTGTTTTATTTTACACTGTGGAACACCACAGTCAATACCAAGTGGTCAACTGACACTATTTCAACATTGTCTATGTGCAACATTGTCCACCAATTAATGTATGCTCATGGGCATGTGCGTTTTTATATGCTCACAAAAGGTGTTTTACAAACATGAATCATCACCCACACAGATTATACATCCTGAAGATACAAAGGAATTATGTTGGCACCTAAGAAATGGCCTGCTGGTATCCATTTAGTAATGCTACTTTATTACTTCATTTCACCAGTTCTTTCTCTGCAGAGATATTGCCTGCAGTATCTGAGTGTTTTGAATCAAAACTAGTGACAGAGGTGATACCTTTTATTAGACCAACTAGATATTTCCAAAAAAATTTGCTTTATTTGCAGCTTTTGGGTGCAGGCACCCTTCATCAGGCATAGGAGATTGCAAAGATTGTAAAAGTTCTCCTAGGTAGAAATGAAAATTTATATTTCATACTGAGTGTTTTGAAGGCATCAATGAGTTTAATCTCACAGTACCCCTAACTGATAGTGATGTATTGTTACCCCTATTTTACTAGGGGGGATAGTGATGTATTGTTACCCTCATTTTACTAGACATAAAGGCTAAAAACACCAGATTTCTCCAGGGACAAAGCCTTTTACTCTGGAATTCTACAGAGTGAAGAGCTCATTGTCCTACTTTTAAGTACCTGTGAAGCACAAAGAGAACTGTCTCTCCGCCCCGCTTCTGGACAATCTGGTCTAAGTGGAGTTAATTACCTTTGAAGCATGTAAGTGACTGTCTTACACCCATTTTGATGGAGTGAAAGCCCCAGACAATCATACTGGAGATAAAGCTGACATCTGTTTTTAGCCAAAAAGATACTTTAAGGCAAGACTGTTCAGGGAGTCTATGATAGGTTAGGTAGGAACTCATATGCCCCTATTTCCCAGGCACAGGGAGGAATCAGAGTGGGGAAGTGACAGTCACAGGAAAAGTAAACGGTGAATGAGAAGCCCAGAAATTCTGTTTGTTGGGAACAGTGCTTGTACCCTGGAAGACAAGGACTTTATTTTTGGGACTGGGTTTGTATAACAGAGAAAAGGGAGGGAGCAGATAGCAGCTGTGGATTGTAAGAGCCCACCTTGTGAAAAATGCCTCTTTAAACAGAATGAGGAAACTGAGGGATGGGTGAGTTGTAGCTCACCCAAGGCTCAGAGGCAAGTGGGATCAGAGCCACACTTAGAATCTGGGAGTGCATAGTGTCCAGTCCTGTACTCAGAGGTTTTCTTCCGAATGGGAGATAGGCTGCAAAAAAAAAAAAAAAAAAAAAAAAAAAAGGGGGGGGGG